TTTGGTCTGTCGTAAAAGTAAAAAAATAAATAAACGGAATATGTTTTTATTTTAGTACACTACTATTTATTTTCCTCCGATTATAAGGTGCAGAATGATTTTTATATCCATTCGCCCTTACGCTCCAAGTAGTCGATAAATTTATCACTGGTCGTACTAGTCAAGGTATGATTTTTTTTTTACTTCGCTTCTTTGAAGCAATTGGTATAATAACAATGTCTATTAGAATATTATCAGTTGTACATAAATTTAAACATTTTTTATGATTTTATTAGTGAATAGTGACTAATTAGTACCTACAAGTAGTCCTAGACAACTAGTAAAATATAAAACTAAATATTTGACATATTTCTATCGGGTGAGGCAAAAGTAATCAGCCGATGTTCATTAGCTGTAGATTTACAAATGAAAAACTTTAGTTCTATTTGTGGATTATTTATGTTTAACTCATTAGAATTTTTTCCACCAAGTCCAGAAGATGATATCGCACAAGTGGCTGCCGCCAGCATTGATGACCATACGGGCCCTTTTTATTGCATTTTCCATCACTTTTGCCAGAACTTCAGGCGATAGGTTCGCACATTCGTGTCAGAGGACTTCCAGAGTCTGAGGCTTGTTCTCGTAAACACGAGACTTCAAAAACCCCCACAAAAGGAAGTCTGATACAGTCAAATCGGACGATCTTGGCGGCCTGTATAAATCGCCAAAACGAGAGATTAGGCGACCCGGAAATGCCTGCTACAAAATGTCGGTTGTGGCTCGGGCAGTGTGCGCCGTTGCACCGTTCTGTTGGAACCACATGTCCTCCGATCCCAGCTCATCCAATTGAGGAAGAAGAAACGCATCGGTCATGGCTCTGTAGCGGTCACCGTTCACAATAACCGTTTGGCCCGCAGCGTCCTCGAAAAAAAATGGCTCGATGATTTCTCCAGCGTTAACAGCGCACCATGACGTAACCTTGAGCGGGTGTAATGGCCTTTCGTGGATCACACGCGGATTTTCGGTGCCCCAGAAGCGATAATTTTGGTGATAAACGTAGCAAACGAGGTGGAAATGAGCCTCATCGCTCATGATGAGTATCGATGAAAAATCGTCATCTTCTTGATCGAGATTCAGGAAGGCTTGAGCGTAGGTTACACGCGATCGGCGGTCAACAGCTAACATTTGATGCATTGTATGCACTTTGGAAGGGAACATCTTTAGGTTTTTCAACCAAAATTCGTCGTAGGGACCGCGTGCTAAGGCCCAATTGCGTGGCACGTCTTCTGGTCGATATTCCTAGGTCCATTTCGACATCTTCGGCTACCGCGGCGATATTCTCAGCAGAACGGCTAGTCCGAGGCCGGCCACGAAGAGGAGCATCTCGTGTTGTCCCAGGCTCTTCAAGGCGGGTGGCCAAACGCAGCAGTGTTTGTCCAGTTGGTGTCGGACGGCTGGGAAATCTGCGACGCTGCTGTGACGAGAAATTCACGCTGTGCCAACACCGCAGACGAATTTTTGCGCAAAGAAATGGAAACTATTATTCCGCGTTCTTGAGGAGTATAGCAATTCATGGCTTGTCGACATGTATTCTGTTTACTTCCAATATTATATCAAAACCGATTTGACATTTTGACGCCATTTGCATTTACTTTAGCATCAGCCGTTATCTAACATAAAATTGCTTATTACTGAAAATAACGCAGCCGAGAATTGTTACGACCTTACCTTACTAATCTTTGTTAACAAATCTCACCTTTCACGCCTGGATGCGTAGCAGTCGTGTTTGTCTTGTCTGCTCATTATTTATGTGGTCCTAGTACAGTATACGCTAGAAATTCTGGAACAATAGACTTTGAGATGATGAAATCTCTATTGTGTCTATAGTGTCACAAGAAGCAGACGAAAATACACAAGTTGTAGAATTTTATAATTTGTTTTGTTGAAAGTCGAAATTTGAAATATTTTAGTGAGTCCTTCTAACGACGGAAGAGGTCCGATGGGAATTAAGTCGTGTATATTCTAGTGTGAGAAACATGATGTGGAGAAACATTTTAAATTGTAATCCCGAATCGGGATCGAAGTTAAGAAACGAAATATCTGATTTGTCAGCTATACGGGCATGAAACTTAAGCAAGCTATAAAAAACGATCGAGTGTACACAACCACAAGAAATTAACGATGGCAAAACTAACAATACATTTTCAATTAGACAATTTTGTCACAACGTATTATAAAATTACCATTTCAGCACTCGTGTCGCAGCTATTAATGGTTTTAGTATTTTCTATTTATATTCATTGTAATTAGCGCCATGTTGGGAAATCTCTTCAGCGTTGATTGTTGTCATTGCATTGCCGTTGCGACAAAAGACTGTGTTAAATATAGGAAAGTGATATAATTGCAGATATTGCTTGCAGCAAAGATTAAATAATGTTACTACTTGTAGTTGCAACTGACCCTGTTTCCTTATTTAAAAACAAAGCTATTGGTTTTTAAACAGGGGGAAATGCAAAATTGGATAAAATTGTTGTTCTAAAGGTATAACGGGACTTAGATTTTTTCTTCACTGTGTTGTAAAACTCCACTGCTGCACATGAGCTTCCCCGTTATAGGAAGAACTTTCTTTAATCGTCACCTTGCCCGGCGGATTGACGATTACAATACCAAACGTCCCTCATCTTTACGTTGCTATCTGTCGCTGGTCTCTGGGTATTTCATATATGAAGTAAACGAGATAGTTATACCGTCAGCAAGTTTTAAGATTTTCTGTAAAAGTGTTAGGTATAACGTGAATATTACAACTGATTACATTTAGTACAACTAATTTGATATATCTATCTACATTTGCGTGAATATGGGAAGCCTGACTGCCTTTTTGATTAAGCGGTCATAAATTACGCGATTGGTGAGCATGAAGTCCCAGATTCGAATCCGCGGTCGGGTCAAAATTATTTATTGGATTGGTATAGTTGTAGCACGAATGGGTCGGCTCGACCGGGGAAGGACCACGTTTTCATGGAATACCAGCGTAAAATAGCAGCGTAACGCTGCTGTGTTTCGTATGGTAAGTGTAGAAAACCGGATACCCTTTTTACTGGAAACGAGGCATTCTATATTAATCCTCAGGGGTGACAAGGCATCTGCATTTTGATTCGTAATCGAGGATGGATGTAGATGTATATGGGCCACAGCAACCACTCACCATCAGGTGGATTGTGTGCTCGTTTGTCACTATATCCTATAAAAAAAATTACAGACGTAAATACCCTTATCTTATACGTATATAAAAAATAAATTCTTCGCAATATCTCGGTGTCGCAAAGTTGGCGGTGTTTTACCCCATGTTTTAAAAAGCGCGGAAAGTCGTTTGTTCTGCGCCTGATCTCTCTCCTGCCATTTTGGATTACAAATTCCATCCTAAGGGACTATGAAAGTGAGGGAATAGAGTGCACCTGTGCTGCGCAAGCACTCGGGCACTGTTATAATCCTTTCATGCGCAGATACCTAGTGTCCTTCGAGACTGGCCGCCGTAATCGAAATTCGTTCTGGAGGACGTAAATAAAAGAATAGGAGGCTATACGAATAATGCAATTGTGTTCAATTTTTAATAGCCGCAGATGATAATCCTACATGATAAATGCAGAGATGTTATTGGAATGAAGTTCCTTATCGGACGGTACAAATTTGGCGGATGTGTGGCTAGGTGAGAAAAAGTGTAAGTTTTTTCCGTCACGACCCCTTCTGACGTAGTGTAGACGGCCTTGGCGGCTATAAGGAAGCGAGATGAAATACTCGTAATATCCAACTCCCTCGTACTTATTCTTATCTTGCCATGAAAGAAATATTATTTTATTTTAAATGACGCTTCATTTTAATGGACACTAGTAATTTAATCAATAATAATATACTGCGAAAGGAACTTCCAGGTTCCAACCGAGCGTTCGACTATACTCAAGCATGTTTTTTTCGTTTTGGTAATATTTACCAAAGCCAGAGATTACTAATTTTAAGATGTATTTTATGCTTTCAATGTCGTAAATAATAGCTAGTGATTGTTGTGCTTTTTGTTCCTTGGTGCACATATATGAGCGGTGTCAGGGTTTAGAATCTCTCAACCGCCGCAGTAGTTCGGCATTCTCATTTCTCTACTGGATTTCGCGGTCGTACGAATGTTTTGATTCACCATATTCGTGTACGTTCACCGGTAGGTAATTGTTAGCGGGTGCGTGCGCTATCTCATCGCGATCTGCATTGTCTGTCACAATGCCGCTTGATGTCATTACCAACGTTATATCATTAATGCGATTATAACGTATGTTATAATTGAAATAAATAAACAAAAACAAATCACAATAGCAATGGTGTGATGTTGTCCTCATAATATACGGCCAGATATTGGTTAAAACCAGAACTGATGCATCATCATCATCATTACAGCCCTACGTAACTGCACTGCTGTCCATAGGCCTCCCCCAAGCGTAGGATTACATATTTTTATTCCGCCGTGCGTATGAGAATTCACTGCCTTTTTTATAGTATAATGGTGACAAACGAGCACACAGTCTACTTGATGGTAAGTGATTGCTGTAACCCGTAGACATGTACATTTATTTTCAATAAAGAATCAAAATGCACCCGTGAAATGCACAATCACATTGTCACCCGTGACGACTAAGATGGAAAGCCTCGTTTCCAGTAAAAAGGGTCTCCGGTTCTCTACACTCACCACGAAACACAGCAGTGTTAAGCTTCAATTTTACGCTGGTAATCTGTGAGAGCGTGGTCCTTCCCCGGTCGAGCCGACCCATTCGTGCTACAATTATACTATTAATATAGCTGCAGCATGGCTCTACCACGTATATATCCAAGCTGCAGTTCTCTCTCGCGCACTATACGGAGAGGTTTGAGGCATAGCTGGACAGCAATGGATCTGTTAAATGTTTTTCAAATGTCTCGCCGCCCGCATTTGTTTTTTTTTTTAAAACAAACATACATAGTAGCATTTTTCGTGTTCGCAGGTCAAAGATGTCGACAGCGAGAGTCAGCGCTGTAGTAATATGCCCGACTGCAAGCTGGAGGAGAAACTGTAAGTTAATATTTTTTGCAATCTTATACAATATAAGTGGTGGACTAACAGTGGTGGAGCCACGCGGAGGCTTTTGCTGTCGCACGGATGGGCCGGCTCGAACCGGGGTGGTACCGCGACCTCGCAAAGTACCAACGTGAAGTAGAGGTTTACCTCTGTGTTTCGCTTGGTGAGTGCAGGTGGCCGGAGGCCCTTTTTACTGCAAATGAGGCATTCCATCTTAGTCCTCACGGCTGACAACGCATCTACATTTTGATTCGCAAACGAGGATAGATGTAGATGTCTATGGGCCGTAGCAACCACTTACCATCAGGTGGACTGTGTGCTCGTTTGTTACCCTTATCCTATAAAAAAAAAATATGATTTCATATAAATTTTTCTCTTCTTTTTTATTTCCTTCTTGTAGGTTGTCTAGAAGAAATGGCTGCATAGCAATAGATCGGATTTTGTTTTCTCTATGTTTATTTCATGTCATGGCATTTGTTTTCTTAGGGTACTACGCATATAAAGTATTTGAATTCCTTGTAAAATCTTTCAGAAATAACGTTATATTAACTTTAAGCAAATATCTCTCTAACTACAGTAATAAAGCTTTTAGGCGCTTAGCTATTGAAAATCTTAAACCTAAAACCTAAATAAATAAACAAAATGTATGGTAAAGTAATAATAATAATAATAATATATTGCTAATCTAGTGTATAAAAACGTACCATATAAATACTCACGCCTGCCACCCAGTGGGGTAGGCAGAGACTACGGACTTCCATTTGCCACGCCAATTTGGTCGCTAAACCTTCGCCTAGGGCGTCTCTTGCCGACTCTGCCGTTCACTTCTGCAGCATAAATTTACTTCGTCACTCTTTCCACATTCATTTTTTCTACATGAGCAAACCACCGAAGCATTTCTTTCTTAATCCTGGTCATAACATCATCTTGCAAACCACACCTTTCTCTTATCATACAATTTCTCACCCTGTCATTCAGATTCAGCCATAACTTACTCCTTAATGACCGCATTTCTACAGCATTTATTCTACTCTCGTGCTTCTTCTGCCATACCCAACTTTCACTACCATACATTAAAGTAGGGACTAACACAGCACTGTGAATCGCCATACGCGCCTATTTGGACACATTCTCACTTTTCACAGTAGACTGTAGAGCCCTATTCACTCTATTACTTGCGTTCACTCGTCGTTCTATATCCTTTATACATGGTAGAGCCATGCTGCAGCTATATTAGTAGTATAGTTGTAGCACGAATGGGTCGGCTCGACCGGGGAAGGACCACGCTCTCACAGAATACCAGCATCAAATAGCAGCTTAACACTGCTGTGTTTCGTATGGTGAGTGTAGAGAACCGGAGACCCTTTTTACTGGAAAAGAGGCATTCCATCTTAGTCTTCACGGGTGATAATGCATCTGCATTTTGATTTGCAAACGAAGATAGATGTAGATGTCTATGGGTCACAGCCACCACTTACCATCAGGTGGACTGTGTGCTCGTTTGTCACCCTATCCTATAAAAAAATCCTTATCATATCTACCATCCCTGTTAAATACACATCCAAAATACATAAGCTCATCTACTTGCTTGACCAACTTCCCTTCTATTTTTATTTCACATATCGTTTTACTTTCTTCTCTTTCAAAAACCATAACTTTCGTCTTACTTGCGTTAATTTTCATTTCCCTTTCTTTTAATGACCTGTTCATTAATGTAACCATCAATTGCAATTCGCCCGCCGGCGAGGCCAATATGACTTGATCATCGGCGTACAAAAGGCATTTGACTTTCAAATTTTCCAAACAACTGTTCATAAATAGGTTGAACAGCCACGGGGAAGCCACACAGTCCTGTCTGACAACTTTATGAATGACAAATTTTTCCATCACTTTTTTCAATTAGTTCCTTAGCATACAGTTTTCCCACAATGCTAAGAAGGCTGATACCACGGTAGTTTTTACAGTCCTGCTGTGATCCTTTTCCCTTATATATTGCGACTATCACGGCTTTGCACCAGTCTTCCGGTACCCACTTCAGTTCCCAACATAAATTAAACAAGATGTACAGCACGTGTGCCACCACTTCCTCTCCAGCCCTCAGCATTTCGGTTGTTATACTCTGTCATATCCGGCTGCCGTACCTGCTTTCGTGTGAGTATTCGGTGTGTATTTGTTGCACAGTGTGTGCTGTTACTGTTTTCATTGGTGTGCGTGTATGTTTATGCATTTGTGTATGAGACTTTTCGAACGTGCGTATTCCCTGAGGGAACGGGTGCAACAATTTAATGATATAAGTGTAAAATTGAGTGTATTACTGATTATATTACAACAATTTAATGATATAACTGTAATTATATTAGTGATATCTACTGATTATTATGCTATGCCATAGTAATTAAAGAAAACCTGTCATTGGCCTCATTGTAAGAATAATATAGTTTAACTAGCTGACCCGGCAGACAATGTTTTGCCTTATACATTATTTCTAGGTAATATTTTTTAGTTTTAATAATCGTGATTAAAAAACAGGGCTTGATCGTAGAATGGTGACAAATTTTAAGTTGTATGCATTGAGTTATATGTATTACGTACTAGAGAAGCCATTCCGAACATTGACTATGTTCAACTGAACTGTAGTGCAATCCATACAAACTAAATATTGCGTAAATTGAAGATTTGTGCATTCCATAAAATAATTCATCATCATCATCATCATTACAGCCCTTCACAAGTCCACTGCTGAACATAGGCCTCCCCCAAAGAATGCCACAAAACACGGTCCTGAGCCACCTGCATCCATCGACTTCCTGCATGTCTTACCAGGTCGTCACTCCATCTCGTGGGGGGACGCCCTACACTTCGCCTACCGGTACGAGGCTGCCACTCGAGAACCTTTCTTCCCCATCGGTTGTCGGTTCTTCGAGCTATATGGCCGGCCCACTGCCACTTCAGCTTACTAATCCGTTGGGCTATGTCGGTCACTCTGGTTCTACTGCGGATATCCTCATTCCTAAGTTTATCACGCAGAGAAACTCCGAGCATAGCCCTCTCCATAGCTCGCTGAGCGACCTTGAGCTTCCTCATACGGCCAGCAGTGAAGGACCACGTCTCAGTTCCGTAAGTCATCACTGGCAACACGCACTGGTTGTACAATTTCGTTTTAAGGTTTTGAGGTATGTCTGACGAGAAGATGTGTCGTAGCTTCCCGAACGCTGCCCAGCCGAGTTGAATCCGTCGATTGACCTCTCGGTCGAAGTTGGACTTACCCAGATATAAAATAATTATTATTACATTTTATTTTGAAATATATTTGTTTAGATTAAATTAACATATTTTATATTAAATTCTTATATTTATTTTATATTAATATCTTATTTTATATTAAATTAAAGTCTTCGCTCATGCGCGACTACTACTCCCGCGCATGCACGAAGACATAGAGTAGGACACAATTTTTATTTGGAATGGCTTCTCTAGTACGTAGTACATATAACTCAATGGTGGTATGTATTTTTCAATGTTAATTCATAATAAAATAAAAATAAAAAAAATTGTCAAAAAATAAAAAATAATATATTTAGGGGTGGGTCACCCTTATCATTTAGGGGTTTGAAAAATAGCTGTTGGCCGATTCTCAGACCTACTCGATATGCACACAAAATTTCATACAAATCGGTTCAGCCGTTTCGGAGGAGTTTGGTAACAAACACCGCGACACGAGAATTTGATATATTAAGATGTAGTCTATATAAAACGCGGTTGGTTTCTTAATAAATAAATAAAAATGAAATAAAAATAACATATGTAATAAAGATGCAGGTGGCTCAGAACCGTGATTGGTGGCATTCTTTGGGAGGTCTATATTCAGAAGCGGACTTGTGAGGGGCTGTAATGATGACGATGAAGGGTCCTACGATTATTTTGGAAAATTTTAAAGATGATTTAACACAAATTCTTTATTTTCCTATTCCTTGGAACTGGTGAAGAAACATTAATTTAAAAAAATCGCAAACGTTCTGTCCTTTTATCTTCTAAATTTAAAATGCGTGGTAATACATTATTTTAAATGGGTATTACTGCGCACGCACACATTCGTAAGGGTCGATCTGTAGGCAAAAACGTTGATGCCCATAAATCACATTCAATTTGGGATAATTTCAAATAAAACAAGACGCCTTATTTACTCGTATTTTCAAAAACTGCAATAACGGTATATCATTATTTATATATTTGAACTTAAGTTTAAAATGTGGCTACTCTTTGACAAATAACCCTGTATATCACGCGCCATAGATGGCAATCGTAGTTTTTTATTATTATTAAGTTGTTATCAGAAAGATGCTGCTGCCCATCTCCAGTTTCAGTTCCCCTCTGTCGCCTCTTGCAACATCCACGGGATGATGGTAGTAGATTTTCTTACGCTTTCACTACACTTTAATAGCAATCAATATTTTTGTAATCATAAAAATAATTAAGTGCCTGGTTACTTGAGAACGCGGATGCATATATAAAATAGAGTGTTTTGGTAAGCACATAAAGTTTGAAATCATTACGGAAGTACACACGTACGTGGAGTACATCATACAGATGGCCGGGCGCTCCGTTCGTATTATATAACTACGATTGCGTATTATTACGAATATTCATACCCGTGCTGTATGAATATTTCAGACGATTCAACAGCCCGCATCCATTTACACATTAGTTTTAAAAAATAAAAGTGAAGTTTGTTCACAATAAATGTTGGCAATAACACGGTATGCGAGTGAAGTTACTGACTCTGAGGAAGCAAGAAATGAACCGGGTAGAAACACTTTCGCTTCGGCTACCAAACCGAAAGACTGATTACAAATTCTATCTTTGTCTAACTATGAGAGTGAAGGAATAGAGAGTGTGTGCTTGCGCATACATTCGAGTACTTTAATCCTGTCTTAGGCAGATGGCTTCTTTTCAGCTAGGACTGCCCGCTGCGAATTTCGGTCTGGAGGACATTA